TTACTCATTATGAACAGAAATTTAATATTTAAATCGCTTAGAAGGCGTAAATAAATGTCAATTTGACGTTCAATAAAAATCCGTCAATAATTTACTGATTATTTGCATATTTGAAGAGGTAAACTTACAGCAATCAACCGAGGATTTACATGTAAACTCAATTGCATTTGTTTTTCGTGGGAAAAAGTTTCTCTCATTGACGTCACAGATTTTTAAGCGGCTCATTATAATATTCATGAGCTGACTTTATGGAAAGGTGAATAAAAAGGCATTTAAACGATGATTGTAAAGGACGATTCTCGGTTTGGAGAACAGCCTCCTGGGCTAAAAAATTTTTCATGAAAAATATAGAAATATTACCCAAATTAAACTATGAATATTCAAAAGAGGACATTTAAATCTACAAGATGTAAAAATAACAAATTGGTCTGAAGCAGGGATAATGCTCAAATAGACCAATTCAATAAAATACAAGTCTCGATTTGTGGAAAGAAGTTCATCAGTGTACTGCGCTAATATTTTTTTGCGAAAAATCTAGAAATATTACCCAAATTAAATTATGACTATTCAAAAGAAGACATTCAAATCTATATTATGTAAAACAAATCAAAGGACAAGGTGCAATTATTGGCAAATATCCCTATGGTCAAAATGAATCATTCGTAGGTGTAACATGAAGAATAAAATGTCATATAATACTTTGGAAAATATTAAAGTGCTCGGACACACATAAGCTGAGATAGGGATAATTTCGTTCAGTAAGGTTGTATTGACTTACATGGGGCTGTGCACCATTGACTTAACATGAGGATATCAACAGATCCCAATAGAGGCCATTGGTTTCCATTGATTATCACAGAAATACCAAAAATACACTATGACCTGAATCGATTGCAAACTTAATAATTTCACAATACGACACAAATGGTTTATCTCATCAAATGTGCAAATATGAAGTTTGCAATCGATTCAGGTCATACTTAAAATTAAAAGATTGTACATTTTTTCATCATTTTGTCCCCTACAAAATGGCTAAAGAAAAATGCTCCAAAAACAACTTTTACACTTATCAAATATCATACAAGTTTGTAAAACCAAAGATTATACTATTATATTTCATTATGTAGTAACATATTTGGATAAGATGCAGGGATGCGTAGGATGTAAACGGATTTTGACAGACAAAAAAATACTTCCTGGTTTGGAATCTATGCCTCTACACTTCATGATTGAATTATGACCCTAATAAGTTGCCTATACATCAATACAGTGCTGAATATAGGTCAACAAGATACTAGTGTGCATATAAATGTAATAATTGAAGCAGAATACTCATTTTGAAAAATCAGATGAATTATTTTTTTCCCATGGGGAGATCCCAATGGAGGGTGTATAAGGTCCTTTGTCCGAAGCAGGGATAATGCTCATTTAGATTGATGAACTTCGTTCTCCAAACCGAGAATCGTCCTTTATAAATTGCATCTACATTCAAACCCTAACATACTCATGTGTGTCGACCAATGAACTGTGATCTCTATTCAAAATTAATAAGCTGAATATGTAAAGTATCCAACCAAACACTTTGACTACCATTTTGATTCACTAATCAAGCCAGTCTGTGCTAGCGATTCCCGGAGCGAGTCTGTTTTGGTTGCATAATAAACCCTCTCCAGTATTTGTACATGGTGTTTCATATGTTCATCTCCAAAGTCAGTTTGAGATGAGACTTAAAATGTATATGCTATATTAGCCTTGCCCAAGTCGGTATTTTTTTACTTATCTGATCTTGAATTATTACTGCCTTGTACAATCTAATACATCTCCGCTGAAAGTATTCAATGGTTTCGAGATTTCCATAATGCCTACGCTATCAGGGGTATCACGAAACCTTATTGATTGACAGATCGCGTGGACACGACGTGTGACTTCAGGCTGAATGACCAATCAAAACGTTATCAGGTTGAGCTGCATAAACTAAACAAACTTCCCATCTACGACTTGAAATTAAATAATCTGATCGAGTGTTTCTTTAGAGTTACAATATATTATGTAATTACATCAATGCACTTTGGAAGCTAAGTATCATTAATATAAATTAAATCATGTGATTCAATGTTGATTTAAAACTGATTTTGCGATGATTGAAAATGCACGAAGACCTAGTCCATGTAGCGGATCATGGTGATTGAATCTCAGCCTACATGTTCAGCGATCGTTTCAACGTTTATTGTTGAAATCTTCTCACCTTTGGTTATCTGATCGATGCTCCAGCATCCACTAAACTCTCATTGATATTTATCTGATAAAATATTTGTATTTTCATGATGAATTCGTGCAAGATTTGTTCGTGAAAAGTCCCGGTGAAAAGTGTACTTGTTTTGACCGTGCATAATAATGAGCTAATGCTGCAGGGCTGTCGTTGATTGGTCAAATTTTACCGACATAAACATATGGGTCGGTAAAGCACGTGGCTTTCTCTTGGGTACAAGGCAGTCACAATAGAAATCAAGATAAGTAAAAGAGACCGACTCGGGCAAGGCTAATGCCATATAGGAATTCCTATTTCATTTTAAACCAAGAGATCTCAGACATGTGATGATACATACAGTTTAAAGATACAAGGTTTGTATTTGAACATTATATTACATCCAACATTTTGAGATTTTTTATCAATAGCCTCTATTTAAAAAGGGAGACAGAGCACTAGTTACTAATTACAGACCAGTTACTCTTCTAAGTTCAATCTCTAAAATCTTGGAATCTATAATTCATAAAAGACTATATTCTCACCTCGTGCAACATGATCTTATTTATAGGCTTCAGAGTGGGTTCTTACCCAAACATAGTACTGTCAATCAGCTTATTAATATAGTTCATGATATTCATGAACACATTGATGATAACAAGAATGTAAGATCAGTATTTTTGGATTTAACATCAGCTTTTGATTTAGTTCCACATAAACTATTAATTTCAAAACTTAAGGGATACGGTTGTAATGATAAATTTATCAATTTAATGTCCTCATACTTAGATAACAGAAAAGTAAGAGTCCGCGTGAATGGCACCCTTTCAAAATGGTCTTCAAATAATATTAACAATCAAAATGAACCTAATGAGCAGTCTGTGAACTATACCATCAATGCTGGAGTGCCACAAGGGTCTGTCCTTGGACCGTTACTATTTCTAATTTATATAAATGATTTGCCAGATGAATTACTATCAAAATCGTTCATTTTTGCCGATGATACTTCCATTTATTGCCCATATGACAAAAATACAGTGTTTTTCAATATTCATCAACCAATTCAAAGTGATTTGGACAAGCTTGCTCTCTGGGCTGCCACCTGGAAGATGCAATTCAAAGCTCAAAAAAGCGCCGACATCATTTTCTCTAGAAGAAATATTCCTTTTGACCCACCACCATTGAGATTAGGTGCAGATGTTATTCCCAGTTGTGAGAATCACAAACATCTAGGGCTTAATCTTGACAAACACCTTAACTTCAATTACCATATTGATCAGATTATAAAAAGAGTTACCTCACTCCTAAGACCAATGAAAAAATTGAGCAAACTTTTAAATAGTATGCACTTAGAGATAATATATAATACGTATATCATGCCACATTTTGATTATTGCGATGTAATTTACAATAAGGCTTCAAATTTGAAACTACAAGCTCTTGACAGACTCCACTACCGAGCAGCCTGTTTGGTATCTGGTTCTATTCATGGATCCAATACTATTAAAGTCTTAAATTCTTTGAATTGGAAATCCTTATCCGTTAGAAGAATCGAGCACCTAAAAATGTTTGTTTTTAAATGCAGATATAATATCAACCCCCCGTTTATTTGTGATTTACTTCGTAAATATGAGCATATACCTGCCCGTAATTTAAGAGATCAAAGAGATTATTCTCTTCCAACTCGACTGAGCATGTCTTCTAAAAGAAGTACCATATTTCAGGCTATAACATTGTGGAATGATTTGCCACCTGATACTAGAAGGGGTCAACCTATTTCTAGTTTTAAAAGATTAGTGCGAGAGTACAAGAGCCCTGTCTCTTTAATCCCAACTACTAAATTAAATGTGACCTTACCCAGACATCTCGAAATAAAACTTAATAGACTAAGATCTGGCCTCTTATTAAAATCACACCTTTATGCTCACAACTTCAAAGACATTACTGATCCTTTGTGCCATTGTGGTGTACCAATGACAACCATGCATTTTCTTTTAAAATGCCCACTGCTACAGAATGAAAGAAACAACCTCATTGCAGGCCTTCGTACTTACAATTTAAGTGACTTGTTCAATAACTACAACTTGAATGACAAATTACAATTTTTACTGTTTGGAAGCACTAACCTGGATGCTACTATGAATGAAGCTTTAATTCATATTGTTAGCTATTATATACATACAAGCCTTGTTTTATTATCTATCTAGTAGTAATTTGACAAGTCCTTTTTTCTGCAATGACCGAATTATTTTTCAAGTTCCGTTAACATCCTGGCCCATGGGATAACCTTCAGGTATTTTGAAATAACCTTAACAAATTTATCTTATTTCATTATCTAATATCTACATGTATATATAATATATATATTAAATTGCCGCTAATGTTGCAAAACCTTGGCAATTAGAATTTGTAATTGAATGTAAATGTTTATATTAGAAATAAATTGATAACATGAAAAAAAATAGCCTCTATTATGTAACACCTTGTATTTTTATTTAGAAGTACACGTTTACGTACAAGTTGACCATATAACTTGATCGAAAGCTCTCTATTGTGTTTGCACACAAGGTTAATTTAACTTTATAAAACACTCTCTTCCTTGAAACAAAATTACTTTTAAGGTTACTATAATAAAACCTTTCATTCACTAACTTTTCTCTTGGTGAAAGTTGAAGAATTTCGGTATAGTGAGACATGGTCCCTCAATGATAGGAGCTTGTTGCCCTATGCCTTATGCTTGGTGCTTTACTTGTAGTGCATACCACGGTCATGTGATTTCCCAGATAGATGTCTCTCCCTACAAGTTCAATAACACAGGAGGTGCTGGAAAGCCTGAAGACACACATGTGGTAAATGAACATGATATAATATGATGTTATGATGGTCATGCGATGGTCATGGCATTTGGCCAAAATAAATAGCATGAATGTGAAAACAATTCAGGTATTAGGGACCAGCTCAAGACGTCCCTTTCTTTTGAAAACAAAATGGACTTCAACCATCTTCAAAGAAAAATATGTTTCTACTCATATAACAATGTCTAGTACATGTCTTTTCTATAGAAAATGTTAAAAGCAACCGTGCATGACCATCATAACTTATTGTTTCTTTGGTAAAATGGAGGAGACTAATTATCCCAATGAACAAAATTCCATAAGGATGTAGTGAAGCCCTTATGTTATGAAAGATGCACTGTGGCGTAACTTAAAATTTTTATGAAAAACAGATCCATTTTGTTAACAAAAGAGCAGCCTTTGAGGTTACAATAGTGAAGAATTGTTTTTATCATTCTTGTGTCTCACCAACTATTCGGAGATTCTGCCTATAACTCGTGAAATTGGGAAAAAGAAAAATTGTACCTTTGAGGCTGCTCTATTTTGTTACTGAAACAGATCCGTTTTGGTAATTCGTTTGAAGAGTTACACCACAGTGAGATGTGTGATGGGATTTTTACACCTTGGCATTGCTGTTATTTAGTTGAAGTCTGGACTTTAGTACACTATAAAACTTGCTTTCTTGGCAAAGATAATTATGGATTGATTGGCAAATATAATTATGGATTGATTGCCCAACAAAGTATCAGAGGTCTGGAAATGTTGAATGGCATAAAATAATGTATTTTACTTTTTTTTAAAAGGTTTGTACAATGAAAAATTTGAAATGCAAAAGACTCTTCTCGGTTTGGAGAAAGAAGTTCATCGGCTTATTTCAACGTTATCGATGTTGCTAACAATTTTGATTTTTCTAAATAGTGTAGATTGAAATGTGATGTTTTGAATGTTTAAGATTTAATTATGGTAATATTTTCATTATTTCTTTCCCCCTAATACTAGTATTTCACGTGTTGTAGTACCATTGACCATGTCATCGAGGAAAATTGAGCTTTTTGTCACCAGACATGTTAAGAAATGGAACTAGATATTTACAACATTTTCAAGTACAATCTAGCCTTGCCCAAGTCAGTATTTTTTTACTTATCCTGATCTTGAATTATTATCCCATCGAACGAAGTTCATAGTCATATAGGGAACGCCTCCGTCTGTCTGTCCGTATGTACACCCTTCTGTCCGTCCAGGCAATAACTCAAATACCGATTTTGTTCATATTTTGTATACATATACCCTATGGGGGTAGAAGTTCTGCTCAATTCAAAATTTCAAAATGGCAGACATTTTAGTGCTGATTTTACAGTTATTTAGGTGTAATATGTAAAACTCTAATAGCAATATGTTTTAAAATTATATAGGACATTAATAAAGCTAGAAATGTAGATATTAATGAAGCACATGGCAGCCATCTTGAAAAATGGCGTCCTTTACTCGTTATTTTACGATTTTTGCTGTAACTCGAAAAGTAGTGGAGCGATTTTGTTCATATTTGGTATGTGAATATTATAAGCATGGCACACTGTCTAATGACACTTTTGGTAGAAGGTGGCCATTTTGAAAAATGGTAGCCATTTTAACGTATTTTATTTTAACTCGAAAAGTAGTGGAGCGATTTTGTTCATATTTGGTATGTGAATACTATAAGCATGGCACCCTGTCTAATGACACTTTTGGTAGAAAGTGGCAATTTTGAAAAATGGCTGCCATTTTTGCTATATACTTTGTTTGTAAAAATACCAGCCATGGCTGTTCGATGGGATTTGCTACGCTTTGGCATTGCTGTTGTCTAGTTACCGCCTTGTAAAATCTAATGCATCATCGCTGATATTATGGTAAGTTATTCAGCGGTTTCGAGATTTCCATAATTCCTACGCTGTCAGGGGTATCTCAAAACCTTATTGATTGGCAAGATCTCGTGGACACAATGTGTGACTTCAGGCTAATTGACCAATCAAAACGTTTTCAGGTTTTCCGGCATAAACAAAGCAAACTACCCGTCTACGACTTGAAATTCAAAGAACGATCGAGTATTTCTTCAGTCGAGTTACAATATATTATGTAATTAAATGTTCATTAGAATGTAAGGAGTCATTGATATAAATTAAATCATGCGATCCAATGTTGATTTAAAACTGAATTTGCGATGAAAAAGCATGAAGACCTAGTCCATATAGTCGTCGATCTAATTCGGTGATTGATCTGAATCTCGTCTAGATCTAGCTAATATGTTCAACAATTTCAGAGATCTTTTCAACGTTTCTTGAAATCTTCTCACCTCCGGGTATCCGATCGATGCTCCAGCATCTGCTAAACCCTGATTGATATTTTATCTGAAAAAATCTTTGTATTTTCATGATGAATTGTGCAAGATTTGCTGGAGAATTTGTTTGTGATGTGTACTTGTCTTGACCGTGCATAATAATGAGCTAACGCTGCAGGGTCGTTGTTGATTGGTCAAATTTACTGACATAAACATTGAGTCGGTGCTTTCTCATTGGTACAAGGCGTCATAATAGAAATCAAGATAAGTAAAAGTGACCGACTTCGCGCAAGGCTAAGTACAATCATGCATGACATTTGTCTCTATTATATAAGATTTCATTTTGATTAGTAAATATCAATTTCAAAAGCCCTCTGTCTTTAATAATGACAGTGGGGGGTTCGCTAATATTTGTTTTATGAAAGAAATAAAAATATTGCCATATAAGTAATAATTAAATCTTTAATATTCAAAATCGACATTTCAATCTACACTATGTAAAAAATTCAAATTTGTTCGCGACATTGATAACGTCGAAATAAGCCTATGAACTTCGTTCTCCAAACCAAGAATGGTCCTTTAGATCTAAATAGATTTCCTCTTCACTATTCAAAATGGTTTCTGTTATATATCTTGTCTTGATCAAAGCTGATTGCATTCAAATTAAAGTAGGTATTGCAGATTTAGCATTTTTATTGCAATGTTTTTGCATCCATTAATGAGAACATGGTGTTTTGTAGTACTTATTCAGGTCATTTGAGTTCCTGTCTCCAGTGGAGTCCATTTATGTATAAGTTTAAAAATCGGGAGTTCAAAGGTCAACCAGATTTCATACATGTGGTGAGTCATCAGTTATTTGTCATAATTTTTAACCTATTATGTCACCACCAAAAGTGGTGACATATTGTTATGGTCTCCGTTTTTTTATGTCACCACCAAAAGTGGTGACATATTGTTATGGTCTCCGTTTTTTTGCGACGGCGGTTGGTGGTTGGCGTCCGGCGTCCGGCGTCTGGCGTCCGGCGTCTGGCGTCCGGCGTCTGGCGTCCGGCGTCTGGCGTCCGGCGTCTGTAACAATTTCTTACAACTTCCTATAACTTAACAAATACCGTTTAGACTGACTTCAATTTTTTTCTAAATCATCTACATGTTCTCAGAAGTTCAAATCTGACTTTAGATTTGACATTTGACCTTCAATGACCTTCTCAAGGTCAAAAAGGTCTTTTTTCAACTTGCTTCACATTGACTAAATTTTTTTTCAAAATCATCTACATGTTCTCAGAAATTCAAATCTGACTTTAGATTTGACATTTGACCTTCAAATCTGTCTTTAGATTTGACATTTGACCTTCAATGACCTTCTCAAGGTCAAAAAAGGTCAAAAAGGTCTGTTTTCAACTTGTTTCAAATTGACTAAATTTTTTTTTCAAAATCATCTACGTGTTTTTAGAAATTCAAATCTGACTTAAGATTTGACTTAAGATTTGACATTTGACCTTCAATGACCTTCTCAATGTCAAAAAAGGTCAAAAAGGTCTATTTTCAACTTGCTTCAAATTGAATAATTTTTTTTTTCAAAATCATCTATGTGTTCTCAGAAATTCAAATCTGACTTTACATTTGACTTAAGATGTGACATTTGACCTTCAATGACCTTCTCAAAGTCAAAAAAGGTCAAAAATGTCTTTTTTCAACTTGCTTCAAATTGACTAAATTTTTTTTTCAAAATCATCTACATGTTCTCAGAAATTCAAATCTGACTTTAGATTTGACATTTGACCTTCAATGACCTTCTCAATGTCAAAAAAGGTCAATAAGGTATTTTTTCATCTTGCTTCAAATTGACTAAATTTTTTTTTCAAAATCATCTACATGTTCTCAGAAATTCAAATATGACTTTAGATTTGACTTTAGATTTGACATTTGACCTTCAATGACCTTCTCAAGGTCAAAAAAGGTCAAAAAGGTCTTTTTTCAACTTGCTTCAAATTGACTAATTTTTTTTTTCAAAATCATCTACATGTTCTCAGAAATTCAAATCTGACTTTAGATTTGACATTTGACCTTTAATGACCTTCTCAAGGTCAAAAAAGGTATGTTTTCAACTTGCTCCAAATTGATCTAATTTTTTTTTCAAAATCATCTACATCTTTTCAGAAGTTCAAATTTGACTTTACAAGTTCTCAGAAGTTCAAATCTGACTTTAGATTTGACCTTTGACCTTCAATGACCTTCTCAAGGTCAAAAAGGTCTTTTTTCAACTTGCTTTAAATTGACTAATTTTTTTTTCAAAATCATCTACATGTTCTCAGAAGTTCTTCTTAAGGTCAAAAGGTATTTTCCAACTTGCTTTAAATTGACCAAATTGTTTTAGGTGGTGACATTTTGTCATGTTAATGCCTTGTTTTTTATGTCACTACCATTAGTGGTGACATATTGTTATGGTCTCCAACTTTTTTGTGGATGGTGATCGGCGGGTGATGTTTGGCAGTTGGCATTTGTAACAAATGACAGGTGGTGACATTTTGTATGTTAATGCCTTGTCTGTATTTATGTGGGTATATTAATAAATCCTCATTAAATGTCTCCGATAAAGTAAATATTTGGCTGTCCATATTGTCAGTCTAGATGCATCTGTATGTCTGTTCATCTGTCTGTTAGTTTGTCTGTACATGCAGCAGTTTTTATGTCACCACCAAAAAGTGGTGACATATTGTTATGGTCTCCGTTTTTTTTGACGGTGGTTGGTGGTTGGCGATTGGCGTCTGTAACGAATTCTTACAACTTCAGTGAATACCTTTTTGGATAAACCTGGTGGATAATGCTTTCAAGTTTGGATTTTTGATTGAAAATGTGCCACAAACTATTTATTTCAGTATTAAGTTATTTTCTTCTTTATCAGTAGATGTCCTTAGTCTAATCCATTCCTTAAGAATGTCTTTCCAAAAGGTGTTTTGAATTTGTGTGAGCTGGGTTTTCATTGATTTAATGTCCATTTCCAATGTTTTGAAACAACTTCTTAAATAAAACCACCAATTGGATTCCAATTTATATCAATTGTATTTGCCAAATTGTTTTTTTGAATTCTTGCTTCCATTGTATTAGGTATTGCGGGCATAGTACTTCCTGAGAGTTGGCATGTGATCCCAGCCATATAGCTACTGTCTTTTCCACATTGATCTTCAGACCCGATACTTCTTTAAATGATTGTAGCATCATGAATACATTCGAGAGGGATTTTGGTTTTCCATCTAATATTAGGAATGTATCATCGGCATACTGTCCTATTTTTATTTATTTTATCGTTATACCTTTCATTTTTTCAGATTTTTATCGCACCCTCAGGTGCTATATTGTAATCAGGTTGCCAGGCGGGCGGGCGGTTGGGTGGGCGTCCCGAATAATCTTGTCTACAGGTTTCCAGCCAAACCGTTTGAGGGATTCATTTGAAATTCTCAGGGATGGTTCTACCTATGAAAAAGAACTGATTAGTTTTTCGGCATTCTGGGTAAATGTTAAGGCGGCCATTTTGGATTTTCCGTCCTAAAATCTTGTCTGTCAAGGCTTGTCTACAGGTTTCCAGACAAACCGTTTCAGGGATTCATTTGAAATTTTCAGGGATTTTTCTACCTATGAAAGTTTAGAACTGATTAGTTTTTTTGGCATTCTGAGTAAATGTTAAGGCGGCCATTTTGGATTTTCCATCCTAAAATCTTGTCTGTCAAGGCTTGTCTACAGGTTTCCAACCAAACCGTTTGAGGAATTCATTTGAAATTCTCAGGGATGTTTCTACCTATGAAAAAGAACTGATTAGTTTTTCGGCATTCTGGGTAAATGTTAAGGCGGCCATTTTGGATTTTCCGTCCTAAAATCTTGTTTGTCAAGGCTTGTCTACAGGTTTCCAGCCAAACCGTTTGAGGGATTCATTTGAAATTCTCAGGGATCTTTCTACCTATGAAAGTTTAGAACTGATTAGTTTTTCGGCATTCTGGGTAAATGTTAAGGTGGCCATTTTGCATTTTCCGTCCTAAAATTTTGTCTGTCAAGGCTTGTCTTCAGGTTCTTAGCCAAACCGTTTGAGGGATTCTAAGGGATGTTTCTCCCTATAAAAGTTTAGAACTGATTAGTTTTTCGGTATTCTGGGTAAATGTTAAGGCGGCCATTTTGGATTTTCCGTCCTAAAATCTTGTCTGTCAAGGCTTGTCTACAGGTTTCCAGCCAAACAGTTTGAGGGATTCATTTGAAATTCTCAGGGATCTTTCTACCTATGAAAGTTTAGAACTGATTAGTTTTTCGGCATTCTGGGTAAATGTTAAGGTGGCCATTTTGCATTTTCCGTCCTAAAATTTTGTCTGTCAAGGCTTGTCTTCAGGTTCTTAGCCAAACCGTTTGAGGGATTCATTTGAAATTCTCAGAGTTTGTACCTATGAAAGTTTAGAACTGATTTGTTTTTCAACATTCTGGATAAATGTTAAGACGGCCATTTTGGATTTTCCGTCCTAAAATCTTGTCTGTCAAGGCTTGTCTACAGGTTTCCAGCCAAACCGTTTGAGGGATTCATTTGAAATTCTCAGGAATGTTTCTACCTATAAAAGTTTAGAACTGACTAATTTTTCGGCATTATTGGTAAATGTTAAGGCGACCATTTTGGATTTTTCGTCCTTAAATCGTGTCTGTGAAGGCTTGTTTTAAAAAATAAAAAAGAATTTCCCATTGAGAGCACTGTTAAATTAAAACATTTTTTTAGAAATAACTAAACGCTCAATCTTTCCAATTTTCACATATTTTGTAATACATCAGTATATCTTTTACCAGGATCAGGAAAATCTGAATTGTAGAAAAAAAGCTGATACACTGTGAAGTAATACCTTAAAACGTGTCTCTTGAGGGTTGTTTACAGGTTTCATGGATTCATCCTAAAATTTTAGAGATGTTTCTATGGAAAGTTTATAACTGATTAGTTTTTAGGCAGTCTGGGTAAATGTTAAGGTGGCCATTTTTAATTTTCCATCCCGAAAAGTGTATTCTGTTCAAGGGTGCGATTCTTTTCACCGTGTGGCTTATCTTATTGCTAGAATTACTACAAAGTGTTTATAAAATTCGACATTCAGTCCATCTGACTCCGGGGATTTGCCATTTTTTCATAGTATACAGCTGTGATTATTTCATCTATAGTAATTTCGGCTTCACTTCTTTCTTGTTCTGTAAGTTTGGCTACATATTCATCTTTTAAGGATTTTTCATAGTCTATATCAGTATTTCTGTTTCTGCTCAAGGAATAAAGTCTCTGGTAAAAATCTGTCTGTTGTGATCAAATTTCTTTTTGATCTCTCATTTCTCTAACTCCAACTTTTAATTTTGATATAACTTTGGCAGCGCTTGCATTAGGTTAGAAAATTTGTGAGTCCCAAGGACGCAATTTTTTTAAAAAGTGTGTCCTTTGAAAAAAAAGTGTGTCCCCTATTTCTAGCCTGTTTTAAAGTATAACTTTATTTTAAAAGCATTTTTTACCAAAACACCTTTCAGTTTTTGATTTCTTGCCGCGAATTTAAAACGGAAGTAAATGTTAAGTACGGACTGAATAAATGCATGTTCGTTCATTCGACAATGAATACATTTTATTTCATGAATAACCTAATATTTGTTTCTGATATGAAAAACTGTGGCATGTCATAAATTTGTAAATATTCAACATGTTGAGCCTTATTTACGATTCAAATAAAGGTGAGAGATCATAATTATTTGTTTTTGTTAGGTATCGTTGTAAACACATTGTAGTATTGACCTAAAAAAAATTTGCATCCAAAAAACTGAAATATTTTCAATTTTTGCGTCCTCCA